GAATGCATCATCCAAAAACTTATGAAATAGAGAGGAAAAAAATCCACAATGTCATCGCCTTAACACATGATTTTACTTCTTACTCAGACTGAAACAAGTACCTGTAATATTTTTATACAAAATTATTCACTAACTTTCCCCTTTTTCTTCCCCCTAGCACCGCCACCCCCATTTCAGGAAATGTTCTGAGTCAGAGAGGGATAAGATTTAGAAAGAGCCCTGTTTAAGGGGGTTCTTTCTAGCCGTCTGAGATATTTGCGAAGTGGGATCATCCCCAGAACCCAGAATGCTTGTTTCTTGGCCCCATCTGTCCCATCCTTTGCTTGTGCTGTTCTCAAGTGAAGTGTTTTTCATTCTCCTCCCTTTGCATAATCTTTCAAAGCCAGAACACATCCAGACTCTCTTCTCTCTCATCCTTGGTTGTGATTTCTAAACTAAGTCTGTCCCTCCAAGTCAATTCTCACTCCTAGCCACCTGTGGAATTAGCAAATGCTTTTTATAAATTAGATACTCAGGCCTTCCACCAAACTGAGAATCATAATCTCTAGGATTGGAATCAAAAACTTTTATTTTTTTTAAATTTCTCCAAGTGATTCAGAAGATTCTAAGAGTTTGGAAACCCTTGTTCTAGCACTTAAAATTCTCTTGGTCAGGTCTTGCTAGTTTCATCTTCTGTTCTTTCATCACTCTCAGTTCCACCCCCTTGATTTTTTTTTTTTTTTTTTTTTGAGACAGAGTCTCACTCTGTTGCCCAGGCTAGAGTGAATGCCGTGGCATCAGCCTAGCTCACAGCAACCTCAAACTCCTGGGCTCGAGCAATCCTCCTGCCTCAGCCTCCTGAGTAGCTGGAACTACAGGCATGCGCCACCATGCCTGGCTAATTTTTTCTATATATTTTTAGTTGGCCAACTAATTTCTTTCTATTTTTAGTAGAGACAGGGTCTCACTCTTGCTCAGGCTGGTTTTGAACTCCTGACCTTGAGTGATCCTCCTGCCTTGGCCTCCCAGAGTGCTAGGATTACAGGCGTAAGCCACCATGCCTGTCCCCCCCCCCCATGTTTGAAAGAATAAAGCTCACTCAAGACGTATCTGTTTGGTTTCTAATTTAATCTATTTTTGCTCTGGGAACACTGGCCTCACTCCGGTTTCTCTCCCTAGTTTCTCTTTTTGGTACTATCCCTGAATTTTCAATCAGCCTCCCCTGAGCTCTCTTATAGTGATGGTTTGCAAACCTTAATGTACAACAGAATCACCTAGAGGGCTTGTTAAAACACAAATTTCTGGGCTCCACCCCCAAAATGTGCACTGCAGTAATTCTGAGCATTTGCATTTCTAACAAGTTTCCAGGTGATGCTGACGTACCTGGTCCAGGAGCCACACTTAGAAAACCACTGTTACCAGTTTTCTAATTAACCCCGTATCTTGGGCATCACCTGGCAACTTGAGGCAACTGTGACACCTTTTCCTCCCCAGAATAATTATCAATCTCCCTTTAAATATCCATTGCTGAATCACAATACACATTTGCACTTAAAGGCAATTAAATCCAATAAATCCAAGTTACAATGTTTGAGTGCTTATTATGAGAAAAATATGATCCTGATTACTGAAAACATCACTGATTTTTCATAATGTGTTATAATTATTAAGGGACATTCTTTTGTTAGTACATAGACCTCTGACCCCAATTTGAGAAGGGGAGCTCTACTCTCACAGTGATGGGTGTGATGGTTAATTTGATGTGTCGATTTGACTGGGCTAAGAGCTGCCTAGATAGCTGGTAAAACATTTCTGGGTGAGTCTTTGGGGGTATTTCTGGAAGATAGTATTATAACACTTGAATCAGTAAACTGAGTAAAGATCGCTCATGAGTGTGGATGGGCATCATTCAATCTGTTGGACTGAATAAAACAAAAGGGCAGAGGAAGAGTGAATTTGCTCTGTTGAGCCGGGATATCCATGTTCTCTTGCCCTGGGACATTGGCACTCATGGTTCCCTGGCCTCCAGACTTGGACTGGAACTTACACTATTTGCTCCCCTGTCTCTCAGGCCTTTGGGTTTGGACTGGCTGTCACCAGCGTTCCTGAGCCTCCAGCTTGCAGATGGCGGATCATACAGCATCTGTAATCAGGAGCCAATCCTTCCCCATAAATCTTTCTGTATATCTATATAGATCCTATTGGCTCTGTGTTTCTGGCAAACCCTAATACAGTGGGGTTGTTGAGTTCTGCCACACTAAACTCCAATTTATAACGATCACTTTTGTTTAACTCTTACTAAACTTAATTCTTTACGTTTTAGTTCTAAATTGTCTTTTCATTGTGTTAAGTGGATTAATTTTAACCAGAATGCAAACTTTTTAAAGAGAGGACTCTGTTTTACTTTTTTGTGCCCCAACTAATGATAAGCACTCAGTCCTGATTGAGTGACTCATTCATTCATCACTTCCCAACATGCTTTTCCTAAACCATGGCTCTAAAAGGGGCCATGAATTGCAAAAAACATCAGTCTTGGCCAATAGAAAAACAGATTTCCAAGCCAATTGAATGATTTGTGTTTCAGTTACTCTCCTAGATTATGCATGCTTTTTCCTTGCCTCTTTTTACCTGGACTGACTACACCTGATGATGATTTTTACCTTGATCTGACTACACCATGATGAATCATCAAAAGGAAGCACTGGTGATAGTGAGCTAGGGTTAGAAATGAATTCAAAATTACCAATAACAGCCAAAATTTCTGGGAATAAAAGGGCTAAAATTGAAAATGGAATTTGTCTACCTTCCAATAAATGTCACTATTATTAAGTATGTTTTAAGCATGAAAACTGGATCAAATTTGAGAGGCAAGAGAGTAACTGAGGAACAAAAATCAAATATTCAAATAAAACACCCATTGGGCTTATATGTTCATTTGTGACTATTAATAAAGTTATTAAATCACAATAGGTATGATTTAACCAGACTCAAAGTGACTATTAACTCTCACATAAATTCTACCACACTATTGCCAAATGAGTTTCATATTTTTATAAGCATTTTACCCAATTCTGTATTTTCTGAATTTATAACAATTATTTAACAAGGACTCATAAAGATACATAACACTATAATCTTATAATTTCACAGTTCAGAGGCTCTCAGACTCTTTGTCCTTAACTACCCAAGGTTCTCTTGTTATTTCACCTCTCCACCAAGATCAGCACCACAATCCCATGCTTCCAACCGGGCACGGTGGCTCACGCCTGTAATCCTAGCACTCTGGGAGGCCGAGGCGGGAGGATCACTTAAGGTCAGGAGTTGAGACCAGCTCTGAATAAGAGCAAGACCCTGTTTCTACGAAAAAAAATAGAAATTAGCTGGACAGGCCGGGCGCGGTGGCTCACGCCTGTAATCCTAGCACTCTGGGAGGCTGAGGCGGGAGGATTGCTCAAGGTCAGGAGTTGGAAACCAGCCTGAGCAAGAGAGAGACCCCATCTCTACTAAAAATAGAAATTAATTGGCCAACTAAAAATATACAGAAAAGATTAGCTGGGCATGGTGGCTCATGCCTGTAGTCCCAGCTACTTGGGAGGCTGAGGCAGGATTGCTTGAGCCCAGGAGTTTGAGGTTGCTGTGAGCTAGGCTGACAGCCATGGCACTCTAGCCCAGGCAACGGAGTGAGACTCTGTCTCAAAAAAAAAAAAAAGAAAGAAATTAGCTGGACAACTATATATATATATAAAATTAGCCAGGCAAGGTGGTATGTGCCTGTGGTCCCCAGCTACTCAGGAAGCTGAGGCAGCAGGATTGCTTGAGCCCAGGAGTTTGAGGTTGCTGTGAGCTAGGCTCAGCCATGGCACTCTAGCCTGGGCAACAGAGTGAGACTCTGTCTCAAAAAAAAAAAAAAAAATCCCATGCTTCCGTTCCTCCCTTTCCCTAGCATTACTGGTATAATCTTAAAGATAGGAAAAGAGGAAACAGCAAGTGAAGGTTCAGGAAAAAAAGAGATGAATCACACCATTAGCACCATTCAGGAGCTAAAAATTCTGCAGTTCTGTTCTCACAATATATCTGAAGCTCATTCCAGTGAGAACTCAAAACTATACAAATCTTTTTGAAAAATGGAATGGATGACATTAGCAAAATCGGGCTGTTATCAAAATAAAAAAAATATGCTAAATGAACTATTTAGGTCTTAGTACAAAAAAATTTAGATGAATATCAATATCATATGTTCTTCAAAAAAAAGTGGTCCTTAAACAAAAGACCCACCCATGATATCCTCTTATGTTAGTAAAAAGTTAAATTTATTCATCTCTTCTCTAGACATAATTTTTAAAATATTTCATTTATTCAGATGTTAGTTTATATGCTTTTGGTCAAAACTTAAATGTTATATAAAATGCATTTAAAAGCTCAGTATTTTCATGCAAACTACATTTAGACACAGAGAAACCTTACTAATGACCAATGATCTATGGCTCATATTTAAAGAACCACCTTTGTCTTTTTGCTGGGGAAAAAAAAAACTGTAATGGTTAAAATGGCTGAGGAAATCCAGAAACCATATTCTTTTGGATTCCTAAGTGCCACCAAATATTTGAGCAAAAGAGAGTAAATGGATGATCTAAAATAGGGTTTCTCAACCTTGACATGGACATTTTAGGCCAGATAATTCTCTGTTGTAGGAGACTGTCCTCTGCATTATAGGATGTTGAATAACATCCCTGGTCTCTATTTATTAGATGCCTGTAGTACCATCACACCCTCCCAGCTGTAACAACAAAAAATATCTTTGGCCATTGCCAAATGCCCATTGGGGGACAAAATCATCTTTAGTTGAGATTCCCTATTATAAAGTGACTAGAAGAAAAAGTCCAAAGTTAGATATTCATTGCAAAAAGTTCTGACTCTGCAACCTCACAGAAGCATCAATTTGTTTTTATGCATTATCTCAAAGTCTCTCCCAAGTTTCATATTTTCCCAATGGAATAATTTCTCCAAGGTACAAATGACAATCCAGAGACAAGAACATAAGTTTGTTTTATTGCCCAATTATTTTCTTAAAAAAGTTTAATGTTTGATAAAATAAAACAAACTTTTAGTACCATAGAAACCTTTTGACATGTACAATGACATTATTACTATATACAACTTGAAAAACAAGTGCTTCCAGCTCCAAGTAAAGTGATGTTGCACATTCCTGACCATAATTAAACTATAGGAAATTTCCTGGATGGCCAATGTTTTCCTGGGTTTGGAAAAAAAAAAATATACAATTGAAAAATATAAATAAGACCTTCGATGGGTTGAGAATCATAAAAATGCCATCTGAAATTCAATAATCTGAATCTTGGGAGGTTTGTAGTAATTATAAGAGTTCAACAGGTAAAACGAAACCCTGTGGATATTCAAACTTCAGTCTTCCAGGAGAGGTCATGTAGGTTCACAGTTGGTCTATCAAAAATAAAAGCTATTCCTATTATGGTAGAACTTGATATCTGGGCTTCATATACCATTTTTCACCAGCTCATGGACTCCATTCTCATCGATGATTAAAGGTGCATGGAATTCTTTATCTGCCACGTAACCTTCTAGTCCCTAAAAAAATGATTGAAATAAAACACATTTAGAAAATTGGTGGGTGGGCACTATTAATGCTGGACTTAGTGGCTGTAATAATGGTTTAAAGCATGAATGCCAAAAGTTGGATTGAGATGTGGAATTTAAAAGTCAAAAATCTATTTAAAATACTTTTTAAATTAGACTTAATGACTGATTTATGAAAGCATAAAACAAATAAGAAATTATTCTGATTATAATTTATAAAGTTAACATGATAATATTCATTTCTCCTATAATCATCTCGCAATATAGTTAAATTTCTAAGCAAGATAGCTATCTCTGAAGCTGAAACTAAGCAACCCTGACAAGGATCTCCAAAAAAATATTACATAATTACAATAGTAGGGACCCCTAAAATCTCCAGGTTTTAAAAGTGACAGAACTAAGTATATGAACAAAATAGAGCCTTTGAAAGAAAAATCACATACATTAGAATGAGCCAGATGATTTACCTGAAAAACAAAGCTATTATATTTTAAAAGTCTATCACATTTTCAGTGGGTAGGTGAAAAGGACTAGACATAATGGATTTCTGTTAATGGCAACTAACCCACGTGTGGGATAGATGGCGAAGCCATACAGGAACTCTCAAAGAGAAGAATTCAAAATAAATGCAGCTTCTCAGCTCTACCCAGGGAAGGACTCCTCAGGGAAGGGCTATCAGAAAATGTTTTATTTTCTCTAACGGCAACTCTATTTAAACATAAGACAACACCAGAATCTTACTTTTAAAAAAAGTTTTGTTTCATTTTTAATTGACAAATAATGATTATATACATTTGTGGGGTACAGTGTGATGTTTCAATGCACACATACATTGTGGAATGATCAAATCAGGCTAATTAACATATCCCTCACCTCAAATATTTATCATTTCTTTGTGATGAGAATGTTTAAAATCTACTTTTTTTTTTTTAGCTATTTTGAAATATACAATACTTTGTAAAAGAATTGGGAAAAAAAATCAAAGGAAACTTACTTCTCCAGCATAGGAGATCAGAGGAGAGATTTCACACTGGATTGGTACATCATTGGCATCCTTCAAGCTAAGGAAAAAAACCAAATATGTGTTAAAGATTTTGCTTCCCATGTTACTTGCCAGAATGAAAGTACACACCATACTTTCCTCTGAGAAGCTAACAAAATTCTCCTAGTTAAAAAAAAAAAAAAAAAAAATGGAATAGATACTGTCCAAATCACTAAATTCCCTGAGGATTAAGTTAACATGAAATTCTCACGACCAGAAAGACACTATTTAGGGCAAGTGCCCATAATTACTGGTAGCTCTTTACAGCACTTCACCAGTTTTATACACTGTCCTCTTACGTACAGCTCTTTTTTTTTTTTTTTTTTTTTACCATTTCCAAGTTTCCATTTGATAAATGGACTACTTATTGAGTTTATACTATGTGCCAGGCCCACTGATACAGGTGTTTGAATCCTTCATATTTCATTTTAATCTTCACCACGGCCTTGCATGTTAGGTACTAATGTTGACAAACATACTAAATCTGCACTATCCAATACAGTAACCAATAGCCACATGTGGCTACTTCAATTTAAATTAAGATTTTCAAAATTAGTTAAAAATCTAAAGCTCAGTTTCTTAGTCATAATAATCACATTTTAAGTGCTCAGGAGCCATGAATGTCTAATGCCTACCAAATTGGACAGCACAGATAAAGAACATGTCCTTCATTACAGAAAGTTCTATTAATATTAGACAGTACTATCCTAAAGGTCAGTTAAATTATTTCCCAGCACATGTGTTTCTGTACAACCCAAATCATCTAGATTAACTGAGCTGATTTATTCAATGTTTCAAAGTACTTCTGTTTCCAAAATTCCTTTTATAAAGGCCTAAACCAGAATGCACCCAAGCAAAGGCAAGGCCAAAGTCACCATTTGCTTCTAGGTTACAATCTAACATTTATAGCCATTTGCAATCCTGAATTTCTAAATTATCGAACACAAAAGTCAATAAGTAGCATTTTTAATACATTTACAGTCATTAGACCTCTGTGTTACTTGACATTTCAAGAATCTTACCAATGGGATACAGGGCATACAAAAATCCAGTGTTTTGTCAAACTGTAGCTCTTCTTTGCTTTCCCAAGTATGTAGTCTCAAACTTTTGTGCAGTCAATAAAATCAGAGGCTTTTGAGTTCAGCCACAGCTCAACCTTTCTCTATATCCCATTCCAACTTATTTATCCTGCTACTTTCCACTCAGTCCAGGCCACTCGCACTCTTTGGATTATTCCAAGTCATTCTCAGCTATGGTCCCTTTGACTGTAAAAACCATACCCATCCTCCAAAATTAAGCTCAAACCTAACCTACCTTTCCTTGACCACTGCATTTCACAGTCATTGCTCCTACTGATTTATTCATATAAAAATAAATTTATCAGATAACTGCTGAATCACTGCCTCCTAGAGTACTTATCATTTCTACCAACTTTTAGGTATGTGCATCTTGAACCAAGCTGTTAAGAAATGACTTATTTCAGGCCAGGCGTGGTGGCTCATGCCTGTAATCCTAGCACTTTGGGATGCTGAGGTGGGAAGATCACTCAAGGTCACGAGTTCAAAACCAGCCTGAGCAAGAGCGAGACCCCGTCTCCACTAAAAATAGAAACAAATTAATTGGCCAACTAAAAATATATAGAAAAAATTAGCTGGGCATGGTGGCATATGCCTGTAGTCCCAGCTACTCGGGAGGCTGAGACAGAAGGATTGCTTGAGGCCAGGAGTTTGAGGCTGCTATGAGCTAGGCTGATGCCATGGCACTCTAGCCTGGGCAACACAGTGAGACTGTCTCACAAAAAAAAAAGAAAGAAAAAAATAACTTATTCCTCTTGTATAAGATGCTTCCGTACCTAGGATACTAACAACACCTGTAGGCCTATAAGCAGACTTACCAATGCTTGTTGGCTGAATGAATAATAAATGAACTATGAGGGTAGACAGATGACAGAATAAAGAAGAAAGGAGAAGGCACAGGCTAGGTGCACATCTCTCCAGATATGAGCCAGGTTCTATCACAAGAGATCAAGAGGTCTAGTCCAGACCCTCTGGGAACAAAAAAAGCCATACTATTAATAAACAAAATGGGAAAAATGAGGGTCCAACCCATTGATAAGATGTATATAACCCAGTTCCACCTCAAGTCCTAAAGGATTCAGTGTACCAGGATCCTGAGGAACATATACTTAGCTGCCCTGAATATATAACCTTCCATTCTAAGAACCACAAAGATACCCCAAGAAACTAAGATCAACTTTAGTAAACAAAGTTACATGCCCTGAAGAGGGAGACACAGAAGCTACCATCACCAAATGTAAAATCTCAGGATACAGGCCAATTAGCCCAGTGACACTACTGCCCCCCATTTTTTTAACCAAACATCCTTTTGGTAGCTAACACTACTTACTATGCATTAAGGTGAAGAATAAAAACAAGGTCATTTATCAAAACTCAGCGTCCTCGCTTCCATTCTTTTAGAATATCTCCACACAGTTTCCTCCCTCTTTTAGATAAAATACTTCCTTATCATCTCTCACTTTTAAGTAATCTTTTCCAACATCTGAGGACATCGTTTGGTGCTAAGGATGTCAGCAGGAACTATTCCTAAGTCCATGATCTCATTTAGGGCCAGACTTTAAGTTTAATTATTTTACAAATGGCTAAAATGAAGTAAATCGGAAGGGGACTAAATAGAAGAACAAGACGTTTATAAAAAGTTATAAATAATGTTAACAGCTTTCTGTATCTTAACTAAGATAGCTGGATGCTGTTTTTGGCTGTATAATTAAGAAACGCTTTCACTTTTCAGTTAAAAGCTGTGGTTCAACGAAAAAGAAATTTAAGGTCAAAGTTTTATTTCTTAAGTTATAAAAGCAACTTGCTTCCACATATTAAAAATGGATGAGGCCGTCTAAAGGAAATAAGTAAAAAAATTTTTTTAATAAAAAATTTTTTAAAAAAATGGATGAGGCTGGGCATAGTAGCTCATGCCTGTAATCCTAGCACTCTGGGAGGCTGAGGTGGGAGGATCGCTCAAGGTCAGGAGTTCGAAACCAGCCTGAGCAAGTGCGAGACCCCATCTCTACTGAAAAATAGAAAGAAATTAATTGGTCAACTAAAAATATATAGAAAAAATTAGCCGGGCATCGTGGTGCATGTCTGTAGTCTCAGCTACTCGGGAGGCTGAGGCAAGAGGATCGCTTGAGCCCAGGAGTTTGAGGTTGCTGTGAGCTAGGCTGATGCTACGGCACTCTAGCCCGGGCAACACAGTGAGACTCCATCACACACGCACACAAAAAAATGGATGAGACCCAAAGTGACAAAGGGCCCTGCATCCCAGTTCCCATAGATGAAGGGCAGTAGTCATCTCTGGCTCCTACAAGAAACTAACCAGATCTTCGAGTGCACTTCCTTGTCTACAGGCCCACATCCCAGAAACACTCCATGGGGCAAAGAGGAGTGGCTCAGACAGGAAAAAGCACACGAGTGACACTGACATCAGTGGTACTGTTTCTGAGACGACTTCCATCTCCAGATCTGTTACCCTGTACACATTTCCCAAATTATCTGAAAAACTTAAAATCTAAGCTAAACCTAATAACTCTCAAAGATCAAGCTATCTCTTTAGCTAGAAAGATAATGGCTTTTTCAAAATCTGTCAGTACCCAGATGAGAAAGGATATCTGTTACTTCTAACTAAAAATGACCTGCTGTTATGACAAAGAGATTCTTTGGAAGACAATAACTAAAATCAATGCACAATGACCTAAAAGGAGAGCTATTAGCATGGAAATAAATCAAAAGAATAGTTTTCTCATTACTAAGAGCCATCATGGGCCGGGCGTGGTGGCTCACGCCTGCAATCCTAGCACTCTGGGAGTGCCAAGGCGGGCGGATTGTTTGAGTTCAGGAGTTTGAAACCAACCTGAGCAAGAGCAAGACCCCGACTCTACTATAAATAGAAAGAAATTGGCCAACTAATATATATAGAAAAAATTAGCCGGGACATGGTGGCGCATGCCTATAATCCCAGCTACTTGGAAGTATGAGGCAGGAGGATCGCTTGAGCCCAGGAGATTGAGGTTGCTGTGAGCTAGGCTGACGCCAGGGCACTCACTCTAGCCTGGGCAACAAAGTGAGACTCAGTCTCAAAAAAAATAAATAAATAAAAATAAAAAAAATTTTAAAAAAAGGGCCATCATGAATATCAGGAACAGTTAGTCTTCATACCGACAGCATGTATCTAACTCAGTAAGATACATCCTTAGAATGTTATTATCATCTAATCTAAGCTTATGCTAAAGGGTGTAAATGGAGATACAAATTTACTCCCTGGCCTGTAACCTGCTCTGGAGCTTATCCATCATCTGTAAAATTGTCACTGAGGGCTCTAACACCTACGGTCCAATTCTTTAGTAAAGCATGCTCCCCATTTCCAGCATGCACTGAGATTCTGAGTTAGTGTCATCCAGAAAGAGACCTGCCACCAAGTAAGCAGAGAGCCCCCACCAAAGATTCAACCGTCCTCCCTCCAGACCCCCAAAAGGCAGAGTGCTAAACTACAATGCCAGTTAGTACAGAGGGAAGCACAGCCCCATCACCATGCACTGTAGGCAGGCGAGAATATTTACTTGTAATTGACATCAGCTGTGATGATCTCTGACTTCCCATCTGTAGCACTGTTATGTGGGAATAAATAAGCATTAATGTGAATGGAAACAAATCAAACAATAATAATGGAGTTATAGAATATACTTGACTAAATGGCATGTATTTATGCTAAATCAAAAATTTGACACAAGAGACCTGAAGGGGTAAAAAAAGAAACTCAATGATTAAAGATGAAATATGAGGACAATGTAACATGCCACTGAGCAAGCTTGTTGACAATACAGAGCCTGAAAATGGCCTTGGACTGGGAGACAGAGCTACCGCCGTTCCTTCTTGTAAAAAAGGTTATGGACCAGGAAGTTGCAATACCCAGTGTTCTAATATTTATTCAGGCATTCTTGCAGCCAGCCATTTTATCCTTTAATGATAAAATTAAACGCCAAAATGCTTTTTTACACAAGTACAGAAATAATGGATGATTTAGAAAGGGAAATTCTAGGTGCCAATGAAGGTTTTATCATAATATATAAGATTTAGCTTAAAGGTGTTTTATTTTGAATTTGAATAGTTATAAGTGCCTTCTTTTTTTTTTTTTTAACTTCCAAAGACCAAGAGCATTTCTAGAGTCTCAGAATTAGTGAATGTAACAGCCATTCACTTACCTTCTTTGCACCTTCCTCTAATCTAAAAGGGCTATGGTGAAAACTGTGAGGGGCCTACATCTTGCAGGCAGCCTGGGGCTGGCCGGGCCCTGGGTGGGTCTCATAGATAGAACCTGTAATGAGGCTACAGATGACAAGGGCAGCAACAACCAATCCTCTGTGGCTGAGGGACTTGCCCTGTGTCGTAGTAGTGTGTTGCTAAGGGGCTTTACCCATATGGCGGACCAAAAGAATTATCTTCTGACCATTATTTTAGTAGGAATCATTTCACTGTCATGGTGGAGCTGTTTCCAAAAAAGCAAGAGATTTTGAAGAGATTCCTCTTTAACAGGACGTACATCTATCATTACCTTTGTAACAGGCAAAGCTGTTGCTGTTTCACATCAGGAACTGCCCATACATCAACATTTTGCTTTTTAATAAAACAATCTAGGACTGTATGGGGGGGGGGGAGAGAGAGAGAAAGAAGTCCAAGAGAGTATTTATACAAAAGAGAAAAGATACCGACTTACCGGGGAATTGCTGGAAGGCGAGAGCCATTTTCGTCTATGAAGTGTCCCCCTGCATTGAGGACCCAGCAGTGATGAAGGGACATCAAAGCGTGCCTTGCAGTCGTAGGGTTGTCCTTCCCATTCTGACTGTCTGCGTTCTTTAGGGGGGAAAACTCATCTTCCCGTAATACTTCATATACCACAAACTTCCTAGAGTGAAACCATACAAAGATTTATTATGAAATTTAAAAAACTACATAAACAGCTTCTGACTCCTCCCTATATAGTTAAGCCTTTGGTCTTCAAAAATAAGCTTTCTCAACCCAATTTCAAATGAATGCTGAATAAAATAATGCTCATCACTGGACCAAAAAGAGTTGAAATTTTCTTTTCCAGTGCAAAATGAGAAATCATTTTCATCTCCAACTATAAAACACTTCATCTTACATATCAGAAGGATTAGAAATCCTAATGCACAAAGATCACATTAGTATCTATCCTGGGTTAAAAAATAAAAAAATAAAGATTACATTAGTATTTGTCTTGGGTTTTTAACAAAAGGCAAAAAAAAAGATGATTTATAAATATGGGGAAATTAATTTTACACAGCTAATTTGTCTTCTGCATTCTCATACTGCCCAATTCTCAGATGCATAGCAACATCAAATGTGATCTTTACAGAGAACTATATGATCTAAAAAACACGTTTACTGAAACATTTACTCACAGCGGAGTAAGATATGGTAAACACCAAATGGGTCAATTCTTTATCTTCACCCTTTTTAATCTCTCAGTCAAAATAAATGACCTTAACAACTCTGCAGGAGACCCAGGAGCTGGTCGATAAAAAGAAAGATGTTCTCTTACCCAATTCAGACCATACTCCTGGAGTGGTGGTTTTATTCTAAAGAATAATAATGCATCTAGACTACACAGTCATGATCGAAATGTCATATCTGAGATATATGCTAGCAGATGTTTCCTGCAAAGAGTTTCATGCCTATGAGAATAAAAAGCAGCATTTCAAGACATTTTAAAACCTTACTGGTGCTATTCAAAACATACTTTGCAAACTGGAAGATGTCAAAGACAAATTTTTCCATCTTTATTCCATTTGGCTTGTCTGGCTTAATTAACTCCCCTTGGGAATCCACATATGGAATCTTCTTTTGAGCCACATGGTGCTGTAACTGAGGTTCATAAACACTAAGAAGTAGAGGGGAAAAAGATATAATCACTTTCCAGATTTAAAATGCCAGAAAATCTGATAACACTCAGGAACAAATTCGTCAACAACCAGAACTAAGATTTTCAAGGTGAGGAGCACATGCTCAGTTTCATTTCATATTTAAATAATAAATGAACAGGTTTCCCCTCTTCATTTCCTTATTTTTAAAAAAGTCAAATAATGATTTCCACATTAAAAATACACCCCCCATGTCTCTCCCATAATTTCTATGTCTTTTATAAAATGTTCTACTTCTTTATCTTAACTTTCTCAAATCTCTTCAAATATGGCATAAAAAGATGAGTATTAAAAGTTACTCTGCATTAATAACACAACTACAAATGACATAGTAGAATGAGAAATATTTTGGAACTGGAGTTGATATTGTACATTTTTTTTTTTTTTGAGACAAAGTCTCGCTTTGTTGCCCAGGCTAGAGTGAGTGCCATGGCGTCAGCCTAGCTCACAGCAACCTCAAACTTCTGGGCTCAAGCGATCCTCCTGCCTCAGCCTCCCAAGTAGCTGGGACTACAGGCATGTGCCACAATGCCCGGCTAATTTTTTCTATATATATCAGTTGGCCAATTAATTTCTTTCTCTTTATAGTAGAGACGGGGTCCCGTTCTTGCTCAGGCTGGTTTCGAACTGCTGACCTCGAGCAATCCGCCCACCTCGGCCTCCCAGAGTGCTAGGATTACAGGCGTGAGCCACCGCGCCCAGCCTTGGAGTTGATATTTTAAAGTAAAACTTATTAACTTTGTCAAAAGTAGACAGTCATCTTGAATGTCTAAAAGCCAGCAAGTCAATCAGAAAGCGAGATATGCTTATGTGAGATAAAACAGCTCTTATTTTATCCTTTGTGGCACCACCAACCTGATTTTCACGCACATCTCAAGTCCTTTTTTTTTTGTTTTCCACTCTTTAATGCACTAGTTCCTAAATGCTAGTCTAGGAACAGCTGAACTAAAATTGTATGGGTATCTTTTCAAAACATACAGATGCCATGGATCTACCTCCAGAAATTCTGATTCAGCTGGTGTAGGGTAAACGTCTATATTTTTAAAAAGCTCCCAGTTGTAGAAGAGAATGTTTCGTTTCTTATTTTTCACTTCAACAAAACCTACCGTGTTTCCCTGAAAATAAGACAGGGTCTTATATTTATTTTTCCTCAAGAAGACAACCTAGGGCTTATTTTCAGGGGGTGTGTTATTTTTTTTAAGTACAGTACAACAATCTAAATTTATTCAAATATAGTTAAGTCATCTTCTTCTGGAGCATCATCATAAGTCTCCAAATCCCGAATTCCATCCTGAATTTCTTGCAACTCTATTTCCTTTAGAACCATTGGCCCCAATCTCTCATGTCAAGCAATAGAGCTCTCATGGGCAGATGAGAAGGGCTGCTCGTCTTCTTTACCGCTCCCACAAAATGCATGGGTTGTGCAGATACGCTGCGTAGCCACGCCCATCACTAGGTTTCATTTTCGGGGAAATACGGTAGCACATAGTTGGGGGATGGAAGGGTAAGAAGAAAAGGGAGAAATGCTTTGGACTCCAGTTAATTCACTGGGGAGTAGGCTCCTAATTCCCACCTCATGATATTAATATATCTTACTAAGTAAAATAATCACAGTGTGAGATAAATGTCCAATTTGATAAAAGTGATCCTCAGGAAAGATAAATTCTGTGGGATATGGACTTGGGGGAACTGCCTACCTCTCAAGTAATTTAGTTTCTTTTTTTTTTTTTTTTTTTTTTTTTTTTTTTTTTTTTTAAAATTAGTTTTGTGTGTGTGGTGTGGAGTTGGAATCAAAGTCAGTTTCACTGCAAACAACTATGTACTTGTCTAGCATTATAAGTTGAAAAAACTTTCCTTTCCCCAGTAGAGGGATTTGGCATGTATGTTGAAAATCAAATGACTATAT